GTTTATACAGGAAAACGTTTATTTTATATTATGTGCACCCATCGGTGTTGACCGGTGGGTGCACATATCTTTATCCAAAAGTTAAATACTTGAACCAAAAATATATATATATATAAGTTAAATATTAGAGTTGGATTAATAAAATATTCCCTCTTTTAATTTATTGGAACGGATATATTCTGGTCATGTGCATTGTCGGTGCAATGGTAGGTACATGGCTAACTTAATTATATGATGCTTTGATGCTAACAATTAACTAGCCTTACCCAATTTCGGATTGAATGGAACCTTGTTTTGGCTTCTTCTCTCTCTCTCTCTATTTTTTTTTTCTGAGGTGAGGTGGATTTCGTCTAGATAGGCATTTGGTGATGACACCATCAATGGTGATGCTGCTGACGAATTCATTGCTCGCGTCAAATGATCAAAATCATGAAGGTACGTAAAACTCCCAAATCCACAACCAAACGGTACGGTAATGACAGATTTATTTAAAAAAATAGAGATAAATTATTTTTTTAAAATATTAATTAAAATGTATTTTTTTAATATATTACGATTATTTACAAATTAATTAGAAGTGAAAGAAAAGAATTTTCGTGGGATCGAATTTGCAACTAACAAAAGATAAACAATTTTAACTTAAAAATCAATATTATTGATCTGAAACGAACCATTCAAAAATTAATACATAACATTATTATATATTAATTTTATGTTCAAGACAAGGTTAAATAGCAAACAAATTCTTAATTATAATGATATTATATATTAAATAATAAATAATCTACGGTTAATTGATAATTTATAAAAATAAATTTATCATTATTATAAAAAAAAAAAAAACCGAATTTGTCCAATAAATTCCTCACCATCAAATAAATTCAACCGAAGCTGATTCTTTCCAATCATGTTCAAAGATAATATTTTTTTTATTCGTATGAATGCCTAACATGCATACGAATGCCATGTTGTGGCGGGGAGATGTCGTTACCGGTCAAAAGTTTCAAAATTCGTTAAAACCGACCTAAATCTCTTCAAAGGTGCCAAAAATTAAAATCTTTATCTTCAAGCAATTCATTCAGCCCCTAAGACTAAGACTAAGACTAAGGAGTTATTTAATATAATAATTGAAAATTAATAATTAACAGTTTTATTTAATATAATTATTAATAATTATTTTATTCATTTCAAAATAATAATTATTTTTTAATTTTTATAAATTAAAGATTTGTAAACAATTTATATATTTATTTATATTATTCTTAAAAAAATAAAACTTAAACTTTTAAAGAAATAAAAGATAAAAAGAGAATTTAATAATTAATTATAGTAAATAGATAATAATAGATTAATAAAGTGAAAAAAAATATTTGTCTATTTAAAAAAAAATGACAATTAATAGAATAAATTTAAAGTATAAAAAATTATTTTGGAGTGGAGGTATTATTATCATTAATAATTTAATTAATAGATTAGATAAAACCGTAAATAGTACTACATTTCACTCTATATATTCCCCTGTAGAATCAATCCTCTAAAAAGTGATGTCTAAAGAACTTGATTCACCAAGAAAATGGAAAATATGCTGGAATCAACTTTTCTTTGGCTCAAAAAGTTGAGGAGGAATGATTTTCATGATCTATATGTATACCTCTGCCTTCATCAATGACATTTGCAGCAAGCAGAGGCATCCAAACACACAAAAATCCCTTGATTTCTAGCAATGTATCATAACATTAACATCCCCCCAAACCAATATCCTGCTCCAGACAATGGCCGTATCTTCAACATTGTCTGCGTCAAGAATGCAAGGAAACCACTTCCCTACAATCCGTATGGTTGGCCGAGAGATACGCAGTACGGTAACCTTCCAAACTACCCCCAGCAGCCTTTGGCTACGGTTGGGAAAGATATGCAGTACGGTAATCCTCCAAACTACCTCCAGCAGCCTCTGGCTACGGGTGCATGGAATCAGCAACAACAGGTGGTGCAGTCCCAGTATGAGATACTGAAGTTTCACTTCCAGCGATATGACACCAACGGAGACGGCCGCCTCAGCCAAGCCGAGCTCCGCAAAGCGTTTGCCACCCTGGGTTCGCGCTGCCCTCCCCTGCGAGCGTGGCTATCATCCAATGATGCTGATAAGAATGGAGATGGGTATATAAATCAGCAAGAGCTGGACGCTCTCATTCGTTACACTATACAGTGGATGGACACCAAGCTCTAGAATGTTCACTGGGACATGGGGTCGAACACTTAACTGACTTAAGTGCAATAAGTAATGGGCCAGGGCTAGCCTGGTTTGTTTAGTAAATGGCTGCTGTGTGCTTTATCTAGCTGTTTTGTTTAGTGTGTGGTTAATGTAATGTCTGTGGCTTCCCTTACATGATGGAGAAGCTAGTTCAGGTGTTTTCTTATACAGTGTCTCCTGTAACACTTCTTATATATACATCTCATAAATAATTACCTTACATATCTCTTTACCCCTTTTTTCATCCCAAACTAAGTTACAACTTAATATATAGGGTGTTTAGATTAACTATTTAAATGCATCTAATAACTGAAATTTGATAACTGAAAATTGTTGTTATTTAAAATGTAAAATATTTAATTAAAGTTGATTGTTAAATATAAAACTCCAAACCAAACACCATAAACTCTAAGGGATAAGGCCCCCAATTTGTCTCCTATAACACCTTTAGTTGAGATATCTATTTACTCCATTCTGGTTTGAGATATGCGTAAGTTGATCACACTTAACAATCAACTCTTAAATTAAATACTTTATTTAGGTGGATTATGCATCAAGCCAATGAACTTGAAGAACCTTTAGGAGTAATAATTGATTGTAGAGTTATAGTGGTGGAAGTTACTTTATTATTAATATAAAAAGCTTTCACCTCATAATATGAGTTTGAACTTGTGCCTTTTTTTCTTTATCTCCTTCCCTCACAGGTTTAAACCATTTGCTTTTAGTATATTAGAAAAATCATTGATTGTAATTAGAGATGATAATTTCCTCAGACACCGTAGGAGATGAGGTTTCTTTTTC